GAGCTTCGATTGGCGCTGCAAGACGAATGGGCAGCAATGCCTCAACAACTCATTGACACCCTCATTCTCAGCATGGGCAGACGCTGTGAAACCTGCCTAGCAGTCAGGGGAGATCATATCCCCTATTAAAGACCGGATGTTTCTTGCTGGACACCCATCACAGGGATGTTTCGGCCTTCAGTCGCATTGCGCTCCATGCTACTTTTTCAATAAAGCTTCTTTTTATCCCTCTGATTTCTCTTTTAGTAAGTGTTGCTTACATTACTCATGTCCGTACGTATTGGGGATCTTACGGTATTAAATGTGTTGATTTGGAAAGCTTTTGTACAAAGTTATATTGAAAAAAACCGTCTCGTCCTTAATTTTTGCACACCAGTGTATATAAGGCATGAAGTCCGTTACATTTCGAACATTTGGTATTACTAAATTTAGAATTCTGTAACGTTTTAGAACTAACATTATTACTTTTATCAACAACTTTAGCTTCCGCTTCTTTATTTATGATAATTTCGAGACAAGAACACCTTAAATTTAAAAATTCAAAAAAATGATTCCAATGTAGGAAAATCATCTTCCGCTGTTTTCTGTGCCCATAACTTTCGAGTTTCTGAGTCTACCTTTTGAAGCAACATAAATATTAACCATGGATCCCTAGAAGTTGCGTTGTCACCAAGAGCTTTTAAACCTCTGATAACTTCATCGGAAGTATCAGCTAATTGCCTCGTAAATTAACATTATCAACCTGTGAAAGTACATTTTTGATCCATAAATGTTTTAATTAACGATTGTACGATTTGTTTCTTTTTATCGTACCTAGCGAGCAATTTTGCCCATGCTTCTTCATAAGAATTATTTGATAACGGAATATGTTTAATTATAGAAGCTGGTTCATCAGCAAGTGATCCGATTAAATACTGAAATTTCTGTATATTCGATAAAGAAGTATTATGCACTGTTGCAAAAAATAAATCTTTAAAATTCATCCAGTCATTAAAGTTACCCGAAAAAATAGGGATATTCAACTTAGGTAACTTAAAGTTACTAATATTAGAATTCCCTGGAACATTTGGCACATTAGCCACATTCATTACATCTAATAAATTTTGATACTGAAGTTTCAAACTAAAATACTTCAATTCAAAATCTTCAATTTCTGACTGTTCTTCTGGTAATTGGGCATCAAATTTACCAAAATCTGAAAAAATCCTTTCCAAGCGCTCCAGATGCAAAATTACTTCATTTTTAGATAAATCGGAAGGAATAGTACTCTGAAGCCTTGTGAAGACCACTTTTGCCCTACCACGCAATCTAATGACAGTAGCTTGATCCATAATAAGTAATCGAAGTATTCAAGTTCAAAATGAAATTCAATACAAAATAGATATAAAACTTCAAGAATCAAATTCAGATGTAAATCGAAATAAAAAGCACTTATCTGTACTTGAACTGCTGACGAATTCTCTATCTCGCCGCCTTGCCTCCAGAAATTTGTTTACGGTCCTGTGTTAGAATGGCGCCGACATGGATGACGCAGTTTCGACTTTAAATATACTTAATAAATTCAACGACTCTTGGTGTATTTAAATCAAACTGAATACATTTAATAATATAACATTCACACGTAAACATTTAGTAATAATTCAGCAGTACAGATAAGCATTAAAATAGGAATTACAACAGTTACAGGCCAGCTACACTTTTTAGCGACCGAATTCTTTGAACGACTAAACTCAAAAGCGTGTTGCCAACGCAGGGCAACGAAAGGGTAGAAATTAATTCGATAGGCGTGGAAGTGAACAGTAACAATCTCGTATAGAAACACTTTTGCCTTATTGAATCTCTTCCTATAGGTTAAATTCGGAGTCACTGCATCAACAGGTTTTACTTCAAATTCTTTCACGTAGCGTAAGAACTTTCATGGACACGAACTAAATTTAGCACAAAATGTTAAAGTTACATTTGATAGTATGAAAAATTAACATTGCTCGCGACCTACTAACTATTAACTGACAACATACTTGTACTGCTTTCGGAAACAAGCGAAAACTGTTACTCTTTATGTATGGTATTAATAAAGTCTACTGCTATAGTCTTGTTCCGTTTCGAATCTTGGAGAAGCCGTGGATGTGACATGGGGTACTTAAAGTACTGTTAAGCTGAAAGTTCTCTCGAGAGGTTTGTAGTAGATAGAGAAAAGAGCTGGGAGAGACGCTTTGATCGTTCCAGGGTAAATCCTCCTTCAAAAGTGGAACTGAATTGGGTAAATTCGCTTTGTTATCCATAAGACGACAGCGATGGACTCAACGTTACCTCTTGACCACGATAAAATCCGTGGATTTGATCTGATGTTGATGTCAGATAAATAAAACTAAGTAAAAAAAAGGGGGGAACTAACTAGATCTTTCTGCAGAGAATCAAAGCAAATCAAGTTCCTTCGGCAATATACTTAAAAATTCTACAGTAAGCAGACAGAAGAGACAAAATAACGTTCCTTTTAATACAACTAAATGTTAGTTTAAAATTTACTGGAACGCCTTGGTACCAAACATTTGCAGGAATTAGTTTAGTCTAACTAATCCATTGACGACACGTCACTGAAGCTGATTCATCACAGAATAGTTGACTAATTAATTACGGTAAAGCAATCGAGGATTAACTGCCTGTAGTAAGCTTAACTTGGTAAAGGGATTTCAGAAGAATATGGCTTAGCACATGGGAGGAAGACATGGAATAAGAATAATTATTTTCAATAAATAATTTAGCAAATATAATTAGTTCCAGTATTTCCATAAGTAATAGGATCCCTGAGTAATGTGAAATCTGCTATCGGATTTCACATATCCTACAAAAAACCACCTATCACGGTTGTGTGAAATATGGACAATTGGCTCATCAGCTGCCAAGAAGTAAAATCCACACTGAACACTGGGTAGTTCGGTTCGGGATTGGAGTTCGGGCGAACGGGCTGGCTGCATGCGGAGCTTTGTGGTTTTCCTCATATGTAACGTGGATACGAGTCAGTTTCCTTTAAAAAGTCCTCCACGAAGCATCCCTCACATTCCGTACACTGTCAATAAAAATAAAAATATTGGAAATATAGAATTCTATATTTGTAATGTAATCTGTGTAGAAAGCATAAATGTGTTAGAGATTGATTGACAAATATTCTCAGTAGGTCATTATTGGCACAAATTAAGCTGATAATTAAGTGTGTTGTGTATAACAGTAAGTGTGTGTATAACAGTAAAGAATCATTATAAGATAATAGGGATATCTATGCTGTATAGTATCACATTCCCTTTCAAAGGATGATAGAAGAATAGAAATCCTACTTTCCAACAAAATACTGCATAAACATTAGTTCATTGCTCAGAATAACACATCGGTATTCGTAATTATGGTAAAAATTGGCAATATTTTATCAGACTCTATACTTTCTTGCTTGCAGTATACATATTCTCCATCTGTAACTGTCTATTTCTTAATTTTTTTAATAACTAAATAAATGAAAATACCGACGTAAACCACGAATATACAAGTAGATGATACGAAGGCAACCGATGGTATCCGAACTCATGACCAAAGGTGAATAATTCAGTCTGCTTTTTTAAAACATCCTCTTTAGGAATAAAGGTAAGGGGAAGTCTGTTATTAATGATTTGAAACCAATCTTCTCTGACTTTTCTTTAAAATTATTTTCTTTGTCTTTTTTTCGCTGTTTTTTTCCCGTTCTGGAACTACTTTATCTTTCTTATCATTTGATTATTGAAATTTATCAGGAAATTATCATAATTTTTAAGATAAAAGAAAAGCGAAATTGCAAATTTCTGTAACAATATTTTTAGCCCAAAGAGGCGATTTGCCCAGAAGGGCTATTAATTTCATTTTGGCATTTTGCGCTGATTCGCTAGAAACGGCGAATCACTTTTTGAATTGTTGCCACCAAATATTACAGCCTTGTATTATATTTAAAGAAATTAAATAGTGAAGAATCTGCATAAATGTATGTATGCTTCTCGCATTGTGATAAAACAAAGGTACTTAGAGCCATCAAATTTTAAATAACGTACGTCTCCACCCAAATATGGGTATCTGGAAGCCCAAATTTAGAATCTGTAATTTTCTTATAATCTATTTCATATTTTGTAAAGCATTTATGAGTTTTTGATTAAAAAATTCAACGATTTCAAAGGGAGCAATGGCAACACTGTACGAAAAAAAAAATTGTCTCCAGCGCACGAGACTGTGTATCGAAAATTCTAAATACAGGCTTTTTTAAATATTTTGTGATATTGCTGTTGAATTGAATTTTATGTGGTTTAAATGTTAAGTGAATAACATGATATTTAATAAATAAAGGTAACACACAAAACGAGAAACGCCCCATTGGGCGTAATATAAAATCTGAAAGCTTTCAGATTTTTTTTTCTTTTGTTATTTTTTCCCGTTCCACAACTTATTATTTTATTATTGAAATTTATCAGGAGATTATCGTAATTTTTAAGGCGAAAGAAAAGCGAAAATGCAAATTGCCGTAATAATATTTTTCAAGACTTTTTTCATTTAATTTTTTTATTAAAATTAGATCTTCGCGTAATATCTTTTAACATTTGTATCGGTCGACAAATTCTACTTGCAAATGCGTGTGAATGTACTCCTTTGAATTTCAAATATGTCTGCTAAATCTTCAAAAATCAGTCTGTCAAAGAAATGAAACCGAAAGTTTTCATTCTGCGGTTAGCACTATTTACTCTTGCTACGTATGAAGGTAAAATCTAAAAGATAAAATATAAAAGGAAAGGGGAATTTTCTTTTAATAAAGTTCTTCGTCGCTTTATCATTTTAATCAAGATAAATTTTCAACTCAGATGCCTATCCATCACTTTGGCGACAACTGAAACTGAAATTGGCGAGAAATAAGCTTATTCTCTCTTATCCCCTGGCAACCCCTGTGAAAGAATGCCCAGACAGATATGGAACGCGCGAAGTTTACAGTTAGCAGTTCCCGCGAAGTAAATAGTCGGTGTAAGACATGTGATGTCATGGTAGCCAACAAGCTACGCGTAGGCTTGTTTAGATTTCGTTATGCTAGACTTTAAATCTTAGTGTCGTGAGTTTGTGTTCTGATTGTGTGAAAAGACATCAAACATCCACTCGAAATCTGAAATTTGACTATGTTTCTCAAAGAAAACAATTTGGGAACCACGAGGTTTTTATCCGCGTGCTTACAAACTGCTCTTTTGTTGATGTCCGTATTCCATACGGGCATATCCAGTGTAAAGGGTAAGTAGATTTTGTAAAAGTTATACTAACTGACTTAAGATTTTGTGACAGTTATACTAACTGACTGTATAAAAAACATGTTACACAAATGTTGCGAGCATTTAAAATTGAGAGAATTCTTTTGTTCGATGTAATAAGAAATGTATGAAATGGGAAAATGACATTAACGTCATTATTTTTTTTCTTTCGGTTATGGAGCTTGTCAAATAATTAGAAGCTGTGTATTTTAAAAGGTATATAAATTTTAATAATATTATTACCTTTATAATCTGATGATGCTATTCAGCGTGCGGTGACTTTAGAGTCATAAACGTGACTTTAAAATCATAACATCACTTTAAAATCACAAACTGAAAGACATGTTATATATTTAAAGGGTTAAGTAATGCATTTCGGCAAAATAGTCGACGCTTATATACTCTGGAAGACGATAGTCAGTGTAATGAAGGATTATCTTAAAAAGAATTATTTGTGTTAAGTTAAACAGAGGAAGAATACATATGGGGAAACAGTTATGTTGCCAAAATAGTAATGGGATTGCCAGTTTCTCTTAATTTTTAATAATTTGAAGTTAGGTTGTAATCGATAAAAATGCTGATATCACGTAAAAAATGACATGATGTCAGACATTCTGCAAGAATTTTCATCTGTTTATAAAATACTTTATAAAAAAAGGCTCTCTTTTTTTTTTCTCTCCGTAAAATTTTTTGTAGTTCAGTTCAACATCCTTTATTTTGCATGTACATGACCAGACAAATTTTGACAACTCTCTTCAACTTTTATACCTTCTAAGTTTCTAAGTAAATAGCCATAAATTATTTTTGAAAATGTTTGGGCTTAATAATTCTACAGTTTTCTAGCGCTTTCATTGAAAGAGTATTACATTAACTTCCCTTAAAATTTATAAACCTTGAAGAATTGTACTAGTTAGTTATAAGTAATATTTTTGTGTTCGGTATTGTTCAGTAGTGCGTTATTCAATATAAGGCTATAAAACTCTGAGAACAAAGTTCGGCAATTAGAGAATCAAATTAATAACGTCCGTTAAAATAATTGCAGTAACAGGTTTTTCTGACACATTTTTGATAAACGGTTGTGTATGTGAACAATGCATGCAGTGATTGTCAAATCTTTTAACTAAGGTATGTCATATATTTTGAATAAGATATATAAAATAAATTTCTTAAAATACACTGTACGGTATCGTATGATTTGAAGGTGATTATCAATCAGAATGTGTCATCAGTGCAAAGTCGAATTTTAATTACATCTTCATACATTCTTAATCTGTATTTGCTGCATCTTAAAAGAAATTTTGTGAAAATGATTGAAAAAATAAAAGATGACTCATGGTGAAGATATAGACATAATGAACATCGACATAAAGGGTAGAAGTGATAACTGATACAACACCATAAGGACATGACTTTGAATTTTAAGGCATTTTCGTGTTAATTATGCGTCAGTATCACAATATACCTTGCTGTTCCATTAATTTTCTATTACAAAAAAATATCACATGTTTACGTTTGATATTTGATACACTTTAAGCCCTCCAGAGCTATTTTTCCTTATTAAGTCCTTCATGAAGACATCCCTTCTCGTAAGTAAATTGATGTCATGTGCTTTGCCATATTCCAATCACCCCTACGCGTCTAAAACCTTTTCATCTGGTTTGTAAAGATCAATCTGACAGCAGACACCGCTTTTATTAGTTTCAAAGGGTAAGAGAATAGACAAAAAGACGAAAAACTGATGTAGCCGAACCGAGTGAATAATATGGTTGAAATAATTTTATGCTAGTTATGATATTGAATTCAGAATCCTATTTTGACAAGTTTTTTTTTCCTTTGTATATTCAAAAGGGCAGTCAGTACCCTGTGATTTTGTACCTGTGTGCATTTATCTGGTGAATACTTGAAGTTGTTCGACATTACCCTTGTTGGTATTAATCAGACTTTCACGCAATATGTTCAAAAGAAAATTGAGCCCAATAGCTTTATGAGAAATGCTATTATGCAACGATGCAACTCTTTTCTGCTTATAAACAACTCGATGCCTTGACCAGTCACAGCAGTGGATACCTGTGCTCATTTTAATTGGAGTTAGGTTCCTTTCCCGACGTTCCGTAACCTCAGAATACGAAGAAATTATCATCGAGTGTTGTCACCTGTGAATTAGGCGCGAAAAATAAAATAAAACAGAATGCGAATGACTCAAAATTCCATTATCGGAGTTCTAATTTCTGAAAAGCATAAAAAAATAAACCCTTAAAAATTAATATAAACTTTTGGAGGTACTATTAATTCCAGTCTGCGAAAAGTATGTAGTTAACTAGGTGTCTGCTGTAATCTCGTTTAAATAATCTGGAACTGAATGTGCACACGAGCTTTTCTCTGATCTCGGACAAATTTAGTACTTTCAGTCGTGTGCAGAACACTATTACGCAGGGAAATAGTATAGCTGCTTTCCGTTTTACTTAAACAAATATCGCCGTGTCTGTCAGTGAATGGTTCCTCACTCCGAGCGTATGGTTTATCTAGCCATGAACAGTTTCCACCCATCAAGTTCTAAGTATCTTTTTGAATATATTTTCTGTATTAAAATCCCTGCCTTAAATTTCGATTCATTAAATTTTGTGTCAAGAAAATATTACATACAGCTTCTGGCACGTTTTAAAAGTGCATCATGTATTTTAACAGACGCCTACTAAATTATATTAAGTTCCTGTTTGTTCTTTTATTTTGATTCATCAATTTACGGTACAGTCCGACTGCACAAAAGAAGGATGAAAACGATCCATTTGGACACCAAAATTTATGATGCCATAAAACGATCCGCGCTTTCTTCTCCCGACCCCCGAGGCATCACAGAATCTTCACGCACTGTCCTAACGAGACATTTAAAAAAGTACCTCACCTTTCGGAGATTTGAGGGGTTACCTTTTTAAACAAAAGAACTGTAAGAATGTATTGTTGCCACACGATTTCTATGCATAAAATTAATTAACTTCAGCCTCTAAAAGTGTGTGTGTATGTGGCATAAGCATATAACAAATAATTAGTATTTCAGATATCCGAATATAATTTGAAATATCTAGGTTTAGAAAATACAATGAAAAACTCTTCATTCAGAAGAAAACTCAAAATATATTGTTTGTCTACTCAAATTATATTCGGTTAAGCATTAATGTGAATTTTATGCGCAACTTAACGTGAAATAATTTTAAATTTCAGTTCTTTCAGACTATTGACTGAAAAGTACTGAACATTGAATTTATTAATTGGACAGAAGTTAGACTTGGATATAAACTGGACTTAAGTTTGCATCTCTTTTCAAAAGTTTCGTTTTAAAAAGAGCTTTAAAATGTGCAGTTCCTCGTTAACTTTTTAACGTGGGTAATAGAAACATTTTAAAATCTCTTTTTATGTCAGAATAATTCCGTTACTCGAAATCTGTTGTTTTAGTACTAGTAGGCCCAATTTTTCAAAGATATTAACTTTTTAATTTAATAATAATAAATTTAATAAGAACATATTAGACTATTAAAATTCATCTGAATATAAGCAAATATATGTAATTATATGTATTTATATTTAATTAATTATATATAGCGTTTGATTTTGTTACAAACTGCAGTGCTCCCCCCCCCAAGTCAAGTGAAGCCTAAAGTAAATTTAGTTCATTTGTTTAATATTTTTGTGTTATTTAAATGATGGTCAGACACAATAAATCAGTGAAGACAGTAGTTACGGAATTCAACTTTCCTTCCAAGCTACGATGCGCTTTTGCGGGTACTGACTTCTCGCTCTCATATCCAGTTGCGGGGCATCAACGTACAAAATATTTTTTATGCTCAAATAATGCCCTTTAATTACATATCCTCTCATTGCAGCTGTAGTTCTGCGTTTTTCTGCTATTAGAAAGCACTTTGGAACACTGCCTTTTTAAGTTAAGTCACTAGTAAATGACAGTTGGCGTTACGAAAATTTGCTTACTGAAAGCTATTTAATACGACTTTAACCATGGTATCTTAGGTGATATATGCAGAACATTAAAGCAGTAGTATATTTAAAAATTGAATTTGTACTATGTACTAGAGCGTTCATTATCTGGACGTTTACTTTCAGAGGTTACATTTTGTTAAAACTCTTTTCGGCAGATGTCTGGAAAAATTCTATAAATAAGATGCAGATGTGTTGAGCGAAATTCTCTGAAATCTGCCGATCACTCTTCACCTAGTACTTGACAGTCTACTTCTTGGATCTCTAAGATATCTGGTAATCACTGTATTTGTATTCAGTTCTCCAACTATTCTCCAACTCAGCAACCGCTGAGATTTCTGACTATTTTCTTTTCAGTCTTTGGACCGACACGAAATTACATGTTTTATTAGGATACTCTGCAGGACTCTAACATTTTGTGGCAACAGTTTGAAAAGTGAACCGACATTTATGAGTCCGACGCAAAATGCCAAAACGAAACTAATAGTCCTTCGGGATTCAAATCCCTTTGGACTGGAAAGAAAAAAAAAAAAAAAAAAAAAAAAAAAAAACTCCGCTTTGGACGTAATTTAAAATCTGAAACAATGCAGATTTTTTTTTCTGTAATTTTTTTTTTTTTGGGGGGAGCACATGCCTTTTTTTCCATTGAGTCCTTCAGTTATTGTTAGAAATTGGAACTTTACTTAAAATGGCATTTTGTTTAGCTATAAAATTTGTTTGTACGAATCAATATTGGTCGCATTCAGCTAGGATAACCGGGCTTCTACTATATGTTACCTAAAATAATGCAGGAAAATTTAATGCTTTAAAGACTATAAATTGCAAATAAATTTGAAATATCCTTCATCATTGTCAACGAGCTTACGGATTTATCATCGAAGTCCCAAAATTTAGAGAAATATTTCATTTATTCTAATTCCTCCCATATATTATATTCCATGTTTAGGACTATTGGATTTTCGTACTTTATTATTTAGCACTTATAAAATTTCGAAT